TGAAGCACCCGCAGCTCGCGCGGACTGCGGGGCCGGGCGGCCAATCAGCGCGCGCGGCGCCTACCACTCGCTGGGAAAGCGGGGGGGTACGGGAGGTGAGCGGGGCCGTGCCAAGGTACAGCGGGCGGGGGGGGTTGTACCAAGGGGAGGCTGTGCGAGCACAGCGGGGATCGCGTCAAAGGATTAAATTAATTTAATTAATAAACGCGCAGGGCATGGTCAGGGTGCGTAGAAGGAAATGAGGGGGTTGCACACCCGGCTTTCCGCACCAACAGCCCCCCTGTTTCCCTCAGTACCCCACTTGTGCATCACCATTTGTAGCAGATGCCAAATGGAGTTAGAGAAAACATCCAAAATCTGGGTCCTAAAGAAAAAATAAGAAAGGTTTGCCAGCGTTTCTGAGTATGCTAAAAAGCCAAATGTCAACTTGGAGAATGGTTTTCCAAAGAAAGGGAAGGGGTCATGGTCTTGGGAGCCACTTCTGTGAAACATGAGGGTTTGCTTCAGAGGAAGAGTGATGAACTGAGAAGACAGCAAAAGCTGATTATTTAATCTGATTCTTTTCAGAAGTTGTATTGCTTGTTTCACATCAAACTACCTTCTTGTGAGAGTTTGGAAGTTAACAGTTGCACCTTCCTGTCTAGGGACAGTCCGCACATGCAGCCAGAGAACAGTGAGTTTTTACCCCATTTTTAATTTCTTTTAATAATTAATTATTAATTAATTAATTTTAAAAATAAAGGCACTGAGGAGCTTTCTCTGATTTTAGCTGAATGGCTTGAGCAGATTTGCAGAGAAGTTGGGCTGTTTCTTTCCCCCCTGGGTGTAGCAGCAGGAGGCAAATCCCACTGCCACAGCCAAAAATAAGTTTCTGCAAAACAAGTAGTGTCTGGAATGATTAATTAAAGAGAAAAAAAAGAAAAAAAAAGGTTGAGCTCTCTGCCTTTTGGTTTCTCCTGGAGAAACTTCATCTCCTCAGCCACGATGTCTTCTACTGCTCTGTGAGCCTTCCTGTGACAGCCTGGGAGCTCAGAAAAGCTGCCCATGCAATGTTGGGATTAGGGCAGATCCCAAACAATGCTCCCTAGCCAGGGAATGTGGGGGGTCTTTTGCTCTGAGTAGAGCCTCTCGGTGTTTGTGCATTCCTCAGGGACTGAAGGCTTCTCATATGTGGAAAATTGAATTAATTCAGAGAGAGTTTCAGGCTTATGTGTCTGATCTGCCTGCTGATAGAGCTGTGCTATGGTCCCAACCAAAAACTTTGAAGCTGAGATGTGAAAGACACATCAGCCCTTCAACCCTCTGCTCTTTCCCCTTGGCTGGAAATGATCCCAGCTGCTTCAAATCCTTATCCAGGTTGCAAAATCAGAGGTGGTGTGGAAAGGTGGGTTTCTTCTGATCCTTCCTGTGTAAATGAGACCTCACAGGGTCTCATCCAAATCCTCTCTTTCCAATACAAACCCTTCTGGGATTCTATGAGCCAGCAGCCAGGCTGTGTGGGCACACAGCAGAATTCACAGGATCACTTGGGGTATAGAAATGACCTCTGCAGATCGTCCAGTCCAAGCCCCCT